TGGCAGTGACAGGATAAGGATCAGAAATCACTTCCAAACATTGGTGTCCTTGTTTCACACTGAATGGAGTGAAGCCCAAAGGAGGACACGTATCACTCTGCAAGACAGAAGCCTCCTTATCTGCCACAGGCTTGGGAAGAGTTCTTGAGATGATTTCCAAAACGCATGGAAAAGGCTAAAAAGCAATATGCACTTTTTCCAAGAAGAAAGGTTTCAAAAAGTCTAAAGAAACAAAACCATTAATGTTAGCTTAAAATTGCTTACAAAAGTAACAGGCTATCATGGAATTTTGGGATACAGTATTAGATTTGGTTCCACACATCCAATGGGACTCCAGCTCCCATATTCATCCCACAGAGATGAATCAAGTTTCAAATAAAAGCTAAGCTCAGGATAGCAAGGTGGCTCAGGGTAGGAGGTTTCCTGTTGTTCTCTATTTAACAGAACACTCCAGATGGCAAAGACCTTTCTTCACTTGACCATTACTGCCTCACCTTCCACAGAATGAGAGGTATCCACAGCTGGATGACAAATCGAAGCAACCTCTTTACGTGGTATTGTCCATAAAGTCTTAAGATAACAGCATGCTATGAAGGGGAAGCCAACTACTCCCATTCCTAGAGGTACAGAAAAATACTTCATCATAAATGCACACCAAACCACAACAGGTCTTTCCACAGCAATAATTACAAATTTGCTCTGAAAATACTCATTTTGTTAGAAAACTGTTACAAAAAGAATATTTTCACTGAGGTTCCCTGCCCCCTACTGAGTATCAGCCCATTGCAATAATAACCTGAAGGAAAAAAATACCTATAAAAAGTTACATTTGCACTTCTGAAAAGGATTGACAGGAGGCAAGACCTACTTGCTGGCAAAACAGAGCACCGTGCAGTCCATAGGAAGCAACAATATTAGGAAAAAAAATCCATAACTATTATCACCTTAGGTTTGACACAAAATCTTTCTTCTCTCCACCTGTCCCACACTCAATTTCTGTGCAAACAGTAGAAATTTCTGAAAAACACTGTTATTTTTTGCACTGGTTGCTATGTCTGCGCTTCCTCCCCAGATTTACAGGAAAAACAAGCAAGCTACAAAGATAACATATTTTGAAAAGCTGGCAATCAAAAAAGATTTCCTAAATCAGCACATCAGTCCCATAGATTAGTGATACATACTGCCAGCTGACTACTGAAAAAAAATTACATACATATTTCCAGACCAGAAAAATTTCTCTCAGCAACAATCTTACTACTATCAGTTAAAAAGTTTGCAACTTCCTCTTTGTGAGCCCTGTAACGACTTCAGCACATTTTAGCCCACATTCTTTTATCATCACATTTTAAACTGCTCAGTGATTTTGTGCTCATGTTAACTTTTCTCATTTTCTCAGAAAAAAAGTGCAACTTATTCTGATATTTAGGAAACAATACATTTATTTGATTTTTATAGCAAGACTTTTCACCATCCTCCTCGAGAACACTGCTAGAAAAGTGTGTCAATCAATATTCTGAAACTTTTGTCTCCCTGATAAATAGGAATACTAGGAGCCAGTAGAAAAAAAAAAAAAAGCAGATTTGTGAGCCGACAGGCTCTTATCTTCTCAGTATCTAGTGGACTAGAGTGAAGCAATCCTCTGGAGATTGGGAGCACCTCAGCAACCACAGCTAGGAAGGGAAATAGATAAAGAAAGGAGAGAAATCAGGCCAGGATGGATAGACAGATAAAGGGAGAGGTTCTGAGCTAGCTCTGGGCTGCAGGACATCAGCTGCAACAGCTTTTGGGATGCATAAAGTAAGTATCTGACAAGTCTTTGTCTTGAGGGCCCCCTCTGCCTGCCAGAGAACCCCCAACCACCTGCTAAAGCTGACAGCTTTGCTTCTACAACAGACTCCCCTTGCCTGATACCTCAGGTTAGCCACAGGGCTCCCAGCTGGAAGACAGTTATGGGTCGATGCTCACAGACTGCCTCACTTTGTCTCAAATGCTATATTCAATGAAGAATTCATTGCATCCAAGGAGTCTTAAAAAACCTCGAACCTAAACACCAACCAATATGCTTCTGCCTCATCTTTCTGGCAGCTTTGTAAAAGAGAGTACCTAGGTTGGAAACCCTGATCTGGATCCTTGACTTGTTGTCCTCTGTCCTACGCCGTTCCTTTGAGGTACTAATGCCCATTTGGTGTCAGTGAAGATGCTCTTCAGAGCAAAATACTTCTAATAGCCAAGCTACACACCACTTTCAACAAGTGATTACCTAAAAGGGAGAGCAGGGGAAGGGGTTTTGATACTTTATCCTGAACTTTTTCAAGCAAAAGAGGTGACAGAACACTTGGCTTTACAACTGTCTTGCCTGCTGGGAACTTGACAGAAATCTTACAGTTCACGTGGTGAAAGCAACGGGCCAGCTACCATAAAGTTTAGTGGGCTGAGTTAATAGGACCTAGAAAGTAAACCTCCCATTCCACACAGGCAAATGGATTTTAAAGATTTCTGTTCAAATGGAGCTATTCCAGGTGATGTCTTTGCAGAGCTGTTGATGCTGCCTTTGACATTTGTAATGATACTTTTTGGATAGAAAACATTATATTTCAGATCCAGTTTCATTTCAGACGTTTAAAAATTATAAGGGGAACTCTGAAAAATAGTTTCAATCTCCTGTTTTTAAGTCCCTCTGACACAGCCTCTGACTGCACTTAAATTCTTGAGTTTGTCTCTATAGCACAATTGAAACTAATCATCTGTTCAGGTGGGGTTTGCCTTTTTTTTTTAGTTTCTGGACTAAAACAAACTGAACTTTCAGAAATGGAAAGCAAAAGGATGAATGCTTAAGAAGTCCATAATGCTAAAGGTCTACGTTTAACAAAAATGTCAGAAATATAAATTTTCTTCTTAAAGTATCTTTGGCCCACGTAAGAACACCTGGCCTGCAGAGTCAACAGCCTACCTGGTCAGCTTCAGCAGCTAGTGTGGCATTGTTAAGGCTACCTCTGGAGCAGTCAATGGGGAAGGCAGCAACAAGTAATTCTGCCATTAGATGTGTTTCACAGAATGGCTTAGGTTGGAAAGGACCTTAGAGATCATCTAATCCAACCTCCTGTGGAACGTGATAAACAAGAAATGCGTGACCCTTCTACACAAAAACATCCTGTAATTGCTTGAGAAAATGGGTGCACTGGACTCATGGCAACATGCTGGGTTTAGCCCTCAAACAGAAAACATTAAAAAACCTTAAGTATAGGACCTCCTCACACATGTTTTTTTTTTATAACACCAGGTTACAAACATCTAAGCAGGTTCTCTGTGCTGACAGAAGGTATCTGGCTACATTGCATCCACAAGGGGACTGGGCTGCCCTAACAGTGAGTGCTGCACTGGCAGCACTGTCAGATCAGTTATTTGCACCCAGATGGTTGGTAGATGAGCAAGGTGAGCACACATCTGTACAAAATGAGAGGACAGGTATGCTGCACCCTGCAGTAAAGCAGACTACCCTCTGACACTCATATAAAGGCCACATCCATTATTTATAATGCCAAAACTGGGGAAGAGTGAAGCTCTCACTAAAGCCAGTAAGATATACCTGCAGAGGCACAGACACACTTGCAGTTTCTCCACAGAAAACTGAGTACAGACACACCCGATTTGTGTGACTTCCTCCTTCAAGACAGGGGTCTGGAGTTTCTACATATCTGAACAAGAATAAAGTTTTACATGTCTACAGTGCCTTTCACTCAAAGATCTCAAAGGACTTTATGCCTATTACATATGTCCCAACCCCTCCCCCTGTGAGGTAGGTATTATTCCTATTATGTACAGATGGGGAAATTCAGGCACAGAGGTTACATTATTTGCCCAAGGTCACACAGTGAGTGTCAGTGACAAAATAAAAGAGAATCCAGCTGCTTTGATTCCTGTTTGCACTATCCAACTACCAACAAGCCTCAATTTTAAAAAAGCCTTAAACAAGTATCAGTGTGCATAAGAACAGTCCTGGGTTTCAAGAGCCACTCCTAAAAAGTGTAAGAAAGGAAAAAAAAAGGGGGTGAAAAAAAGAAAAGAGTGAGGGGACACAACTTCTGCAAGCTCAGACAGCTTTAAAGAAAGAGTTCCTGCTAATTCCTTTCCCAAATCTAAGGCAGCTTGGATGTCAGCCTTGGAAACAGGGAGTGGGAAAAAGAGGCTGATGGAACCAAAGTTTGAAACAAAAAAGCAAGCTAAAGAGCCATCCTATAAGTCTTCATCTTTTTGAAAGCACAGGGTCAAAGAAAAATAGGGCTGAGAGGGACCTCAAGAGATCACTGAAGTCCATCCAACCTGCCTTGAAGCCAGGATAAACTACACCTAGTTGTTTCCAACAGCCTAGTTAGTCTGTTGTCAAAGACCTCCACCAGTGGAGATGCCATGCCCTTCCTCTGCAGTCTGTTCCACCTTGCACTATCACACGAGCAAAAGAGGACAAGTGAGTCAAAGATAGCTACTTCTGCTCCTTCAGGGGGGTACCGTGATTCCCAGGCATATCTAATCATCTGAATACATTTCAGAGAAGGTAGTCTCCAGATATTTACTTGTTTCTGTCCTGGATCCCTTGGGGAAACATCAAACACTGATGTTTGCTGTAGTGTAATATTTGCGTTTTGAAAACACTGATTAATATCAGGATAAATAGCAATATACTTACTGCAAGTGCCAAATCCTACAAGGTCAGTAACAAAGACTTTGATATGATAATTTTAGCTCATTGCAGATTCAAACTGCAATAATAGGGCAGGGAAGACTACAGAAAAACCCCACAGCAAAAGTCAGCAGCTCAGAGTTGCCAAGTTTCATCCAACTGCAGACAAAAATCAGGCAGTAGAAAAACCCACACCTTCCGCAGAGGCAGCACCGTACGATCTCTGTAGCATCCCTCCACCTCATCTGTCTTCAAAGTGCATTCTCAGTGCAAAAAGTAGGACTGAATTGAGAGGGGCTCACTGTCCCCAGTGGATTTCATACTAAGACCAGAATTCTTGCTTGAGTTCGTATGCTGCAGCTTTGTGTGTGTTCAGTTCACTTCTGCATAGCGGAACGGTGCTGTCCTGGCTCTGCCCCTCCGCGTCCATGTCCAACAGCGTCCGCTCCTCCACAGGGAGACCCACCTGGAAAGGGAGCAGTGCAGGCAGTCCAGGTCTCTCTTCTACAGTGCTGCTGCTACTGGCAAAACAAGAGTCCAGATTGCTTGGAGTATCAGTACTTGAGCTGTTGGCAGAAGACTCGCCCTTGGCGTTGCTGGGCGACACAAACCACCAGGGATCGAGCCGCTGCCGACTGGCTGCGGGACGTGGCCGGGGCAGGAACTCCAATGTCTTGGGCCTTTCCAGGGTGGGGTCCTGCTGTGCATTCCATCGTCTCGGGGTTGGAGGAAAAACAAGGTTGGGGTCTGGCAGGCGAGGGACCTCATTGGGATCTCTACTTGGACTAGGTGTTTTTAATACACCTATCCAAAAGAGAGGATGTAAGAGAAGAGGGAAACATGTTAGATCTCACTGCTAAATGGTTCCAACAGGTCTTAGTTTATTGTATGTACACTGTGAAAACACTGTGAAAGCAGAAAGCCTCCATTGAGAATCTATAAACTCCCTATCTTCAAGACTACACTACTCTGAAGCGAGTAACTGGCTTCTTTACACCCATACTGTTCTCAACACCTTGCAAGACACCTGTTTCACTGACCTAGCACAAGCAGCAAGTTTTGCTCATACTCCCACTTGCTTTCTTCAGTTTTCAGACTGGAGAGCATGGATTTGACCTCCTCCTACCAGAGGTGAGGACTCTCCAAATCCTTCGGAGGGCACGTTACCCATTAACAGCTTGAATGGATCAGGGAGACACTTGCACAGCAGGACGTGTGACACCTCTCTGCAGTGAGCAGAACCAACCTCCTGGAAGAGCCATTCAACACTACCTCCTGTGGACAATTCCTGGTCGGTCTTCATGGGTGGTGTGGGGGATGGTGTTCAGCTTTTTGTTTGTTTCGTGGTTTTTTTTTTTATAAACACAACATAACTTTTAAATTTTCATGAATACCATTTTAAAGAGTATTCTCAGCTGCATTAACCCACATTTTACTGCAGACTGCCATTCAACAGACAGCCTCATATTTTGTTTTACCATTGGGAAAAGTCTAATTAAATCAGATTTTAATTTATTATTCTAGTTCTTTTTTTTTTTGTTTGCTTTTCTTTGAATTACTAGGGCAAGAAAACAGGAAAGTGTTTTTAAAGTCAAGTCACAGCCACTCCTGAAGACTGCAACAGTGAGACCAGCACCTACCCCAGGAAAGTCGCTCTTGCTTGCAAAGGACTAAAAGCGGTAGTAATGCTGTGCCAAACTGCTTTAAAGATCCAGTTTTCACTGCCTTAAAGATCAGAATGTCTTTTGAAATTGTAACAACAACACAAAGAAAGGTTTAAAGGCAACAGAGATGGAATCCCGAGGAACTGCTAAAAATGCACAATATTTGTACTTTGGTACTATCTTTGCCTAAGAAACAGTACTACGCTCTGCCTGACAGCACAGGGGAGCAGAGAGAGCTCCTTAGCACAGAGATGCTGGAACAGAGACCATTACTGCATTATTCTCTTCATTATTTATGTATAGATAGCAGCCGTGAGCTCTTCTTGTGGCCTGGCCATCACAACAGATGCTGTATAAGCAACGTGTTTACTCCCTAACAAACTATTATACTGTTTGGGTCTTTATTCTGAAGAGGAAAAGGAAGATGGCTGAAAACCTACCTGCTCCCAGTGCTCCAGTTAAACAGCTACTGGAAGGGCATCCACTGGTTGGGCACCCATTGACAACTAGTCCACTCCCTTTGATGGCCCCATCAGAAGGTGTGCGCCTGTGCCCACTCTGCTGGGTGTGGGAAGAGACAGTCACATGTGTGGGAGTCAGGGACTGGTTGGGGTCTTGTTTGAACCTCTCGATCTGGACATTGACTAGCGGGTTGGTGATGGCTGGCAAGGGAGCCTTGACCGTCACCGGGCTGACGGGCATTTCATACACCACGATCTCGTCGCTGTCCGAGCGCAGCAGGGACCGGGTGGAGTTACATTCCGAAATGGAAGACAGGGAAAGAAGGGTGAGGGAGGTGGATGGCTCGCCTAGCAACAACATGGGATCCTCCTTCCTGAAGATCTTTCGGGAAGGTGGACTGGTGCTCCTGCGTGGGCGTCCAGCTCGCTGGAAAATGCTGTCACGCTTCTTCTTCTCTTCCTTGGGTGCCTCTGGCTCCTCTTCAATCAGCAGCTGACACTTCCCTGCTTCTAAGAGATCAAAGCCCAGGCCTGCAGCAGCCAGCACTGCTCCACAGCCAAGCAAGGCAATCTCACATCGCTTGTGGTGGGAGCCGCTACGTTTGAGGCTGTTGGTGGGTGTCAGCTGTGGGGTGCTCGTAGCAGAGTTCACGGGGGTGGACTCCTCATTGGCATCACTAGAAGGGCCATCCCAGTCTTCATTCTTCTGAAATGGGATGCAGAGGTATGACTGATTGTGCCCAGGTGAAGGGTGCACTTTGCCCTCCCCATTAAGACATTCGTTGTCTTCATCATCTGGAAAGCAAACAAAAACAGGCTTGGCATGGGTGTAACATTTTCACTGGCAAATTTCACTGCCTTACAAATACACATGAAAAGCAGCTTCTCCTCAGAAGATGCAACTGTCCTCATCACAAGCATCATTCCCCAGCTGCCAAACACTCACAGGCTGTTGTCTCCACAGCAGACAGGCTGAGGCAAGTAGCCAGCAGCACTATCAAAGTGGAAGAAATTAGTGACATTAATCTATTTGGGATCAACTGCAGAACAGCATTTCAGAAGCAATCTACACCTCCGTTACTTCTAGAGTATATTGATATATTTGGGAGTGAGAAGCAAAAGTTAGGCAAATGATAAGGATCCCTCCTTGCAAGTGAAGGTGTAACCATGCTGCACATCTAACTATCAGTAACAGGAAAGGAGCTGAGATGTAGCATGGAGCTAGAAAAGAGTTAAAAGAAGCTTGTTAGTTTGGCAGATAAGAAGCACAAGCAGAGAGTGGAACAAAAAGAAAATCCAGCAGGAGAAAGTAATAACTTCGCAAAGAATAAAAGAAAAATGGGTACCACCAAAACAAAAACATTACTGTAAGGTACCAGGTGAAGGACAGGAAAGGTGCATTCAAATGTGAAGGAAACTGGGGATGAGAAGTCCAGGAAATTCTTTTACCTATCTCTGCTAAGCTGGTGAATCCTGGAAAAGCAGGGGCAGTCCTCTGGATCTTCCCAAGGTTCGGTGCACTGGATGACCACTGTTTGTATCCTTCTACCAGAGCTTTCAGACTGAAACAGTAGAAATATGGGAGAAAATGTACCAACCAATTCTCATTCTCCACTTTTATATTCTCTATTGCCCTGTTTAGGGTACACATGTATCCACCTTGATTACACAGATTTGAAGTCCTCAAAATGCAAGACATTTTACAACATCTTTACAGCACCTTAAAATACAAAAGTGTCAAAAAGTTCCTCCCTGATTTGTGATGCCACAGCAGTCAAGAGACCTCTGCTGATAACCCAACAGCTACGAATAGAGAATAATAGAAAACACCACTACAAAAATCAGATAAGACATTTTCTTTTTAAAATGAGGCAAACCTACCGAGCCAGGTAAAAACCAAAAGGCCCAGCAGGAAGAGGAGAAAAATAGCTCCAAAAAATTTTATTGTTCAGTGTTCAATGTAGCCTGCACTGGGAGATTCCTAGCGCCTTTCTCCTAATTCCAACATGGAACACATTGTGGCATTGGAACTAAGCCAACATACACTTCAGACAGACAGAAATTAAATGAAAGGAGTAAAAAGATCTGTGGATAGTCTGAATTATGTCAACTGGACACACAAGAGCATTGACTTGTTATGGAAAGAACAGAAAGCTTAGGAGATGAGACCTCTTCCAACTCCATTACTAACTTGCATTGTTCTTTAATAAGACACATAATTTGTTACAATCCTTACAAAGAAAGAAGAATATGAGCATACAGAAGTTATCTCTCATGGCTCACACCCTGCTATGAACTCGAATCCAGACAACACAGTGCTGAATCCTGCTTATCAAGACAACCACAGAGTTTTACATCAGAGATGCAATTCAGTGTGGGGTCTGTTCTGATTTACTCCCTGCATACTATACTGTGCTCTGTGACACAACCCATCAAATAACATCTGTTGTACCTAAATTATCCATGTGTACAACCTGTGTAGTTAGGATAAATACTATAAATAGAGCAGCGTATTAAGGGAAAACTGGTGAGTGAAAACAAACCCTGTTAGCAGTGTGGCCACCTCCTAAAGTACATGTCAAAACTCTTACAATATGGGTAGACAGCTACTGAGGAAGGGGAGATTTCCAGGGAGCTGGGAAAACACAAACTCTGTTCTCTCTGTGCAGAAACAGCAAAGCTGTAAGTGACGGGCAGCAGTAATCTTCAGTTTAGCCTTCACTTTACAATCATAGTTACCTAAAGGGTCTTGGGAATTGCCCTTTATTGCAGAGCAGGACACATCAACTCAGTTTGCTCCCTTATGGCTTCTCAGAGCAATCTTCCCTTCCAAAAAAAAAAATGAACTGAAGATTTGCTGTTATGGACAAAGCACAACTCAATCCGAGTAGAAAAATAAACAGCTACCAGAATAATTTCAAGGCCTGCTATGTTTGCCTCAAGGTTATAAAATCTTCATCCCTCCCTTCTGTTTTGTGCTCCTCTCTCCCAAATCACAAGCAGACCCTGAAGACCAGTGCAGAGGATAGCTGCACATCCTCCTAATTAGGCAGTAGTGTGCATTTAAAAACAATTCAAACCGTGCTGACTTAGAGTACATCCCTACTGCAGCAGTACTATCTGATACTACTCCAAGGAAAGAGCAACTGGAATGATTTGAAAGCACTAACAGCAAAACTACATATTTTGGTCACCAGCATGACAATTCAGGAACCTACAGACTTCTTACCTATAAACTATTTAGATGAAACGACAGGAAGGTTACCACTCCATTGTGTTATGGTTGAGTTACTTCCCTGCTGCCTTTTTCTATGGGGAAGTCCAAAGCACCTCTCTTTAGGAGTGATAATGTGACAAAGGCTTTTTTTGGTTTTTTTTGCTATTTGCTCAGCAGATCGCAAAGAAATTCCCTACAAATGTAAGACAGCAGTCTTAAGTCTCCAGTGTCTTAATACCATTCTGTAAAACCATGTTGATGGATTAATATAATACTGTCATGAATAAAAAGTGTTTCTTCCCAGGCTTACCCCTATTTTACTTGCAAGATTTTAAGAGACTACTGAAGGACTGTGACTACCCTACATCCAATGTCACCTTTCATAAAATCAGTAACACCACCAGCGTGAAAACTTGAACAGAATAAAGGCCTCCCATGCCCCAGTAATGGCCCAAGATCAATGCCAAATTTAAAGACAGTTAAGACTCCACCATATATCCTTCAGAATACACCACAAGATCACAACTGAACTGTCACAACACTGGCACAACACAAAGCTTCAACCCAGCCCCTGCAGTTCAGCACAGCAACCTTCTGCTGCTGTGTAGACTCCTTATACTCAGAGACAAATGCAGAAGGGTGAATAATCACTGAATAATCTTTTCATGACTGCCTTTACTTGCTCTTAATTATAGGTCAGTTTGCTCATGCGAGAGAATTTCACTGCATTTCCCACAATGCAGTTCTTGCATAAATTTGCCATTACCTCCTGTGGAGAACACATGGAAAGTGATTAAAAAACAGATAAAGATTCAAGTTCCCTTGGTCACAGAGTTGTGTAAGCAGCTGGAACAGCAGCACTGCTGCTACCAGAACAGGGGCATGGAGAAAACTTGAACTGGACTTTTCTACACTAGGTTTAGTTCTTCAGTTAACCTCACTTTTCAACCCACTACCCTCTAAAATTAGAATTAAAATATACTAAAAAATAGCAAGTAATCTATCTTTTGAGTCATTAACATTTACTGCAGCTCTGCTCCCTTTGAAGTCTGCAATCTGGCATGATCTCAGCAAGAAGCAGTCGTTCATTTTATGTTAACCATACTGCCCTCTCAGCAACCCTATCACGTTTCAGAATACTCTGCAAAATGCCATAGCTGTATTGAATCTCCCTGGAAAAGGTGATGAATACTACAGAGCATCTCAACTGTAGAGAGAACAAGATGGTTTTAAGAGCCATCATGGCTGGCAAGCAACTCCTTTCCAGCTGTCTCTCCCCAAAAGCAATTCAGTGCTTCAGACTGCACAGTAATGAACTGGAAAGTGAAAAGCTTTATTCCCAGAATTCCAAGAACACGATTTCAAGGGAGGAGTGGTTTTCTACCAGCTTCAGTGACCTCCAGCCCTTCTGTATAATTAATGATTGTGAAGTGTGACATATTATTTATAGAATGTTCCACTTCATCTATAGAATAAAGCATAGAGAGTGAAGAAGCTTCCTTTACATTGCTCTATTAATATGTCAACAGTACCTTTGAGGAATAACATATTTTAATGCCATCAGAACATTTAGATCCAGGCCCTAATGCAGAGGACTGCAGTAGCCATACATTATGTAAACACCTATTTTCCAGGAGTTTCACACCTGAGCACATAACATTAAAGACAAATTATAACCAGTTACTTTATTTTCCCTGCTAAAAACGACTGGCAAGAGTCAAACAATCAGTTTAGCATGGGAAAAAGCTTCAAAACTACACAAAAAAATCACAAGGCATACAAACCTCTCACAAAATCAAAATACTCCTGTTTAAAGCAGCATTCTGGCAATGACCTGTTGGAGGATCATTGGTATAAATATATTTGGGGTATATATATACATTGCTATAAATAAACCACACGCCAAAAAGAAAAAAAAAAGCAGCAGCCATGGAACAAGAATCTATAGAAACAGAGGTACAGCCAGTACCTCTGCAAAAATCACTTTCAGGATGTATTCACTCAAGGTGCATGTCCTTTTCAAAAGCCTGAAGAGAAGATATTTGTGTGGCTGCACCAGATAATTTTTAAATAACAGCATTTAAGACCAGAAAAGGTTTTGCTGAGAACTATAAAAGAGACATAGTGGTAGATATGATATAAAACTACAGAAAGCTGAGCCTGAAAATAAAGAAAGGCTACTAGAGAAACAAGTTTTGCACAGCTAAGAAGTTCTGCTGCTTACAAACACACATAACCAGGTAACAGCAGACAGTGAAAGCATCAGTCAGTGCTGGACCTCCAGAAAGGGACTGAATGCAATGCAGTTTTGTGGTCTGTTCTGAACCTCTGACATCTCTGTTACAGCAAATGGTGTGGAAACAGAAAAGTGTGCAAGAGGACAGGCAAATCTCCTGTGAGCCAGCCCATAACCAGTTTTAGAACCTGGAAGCCAGTCTGGTCCCAGGCCATGTCTTACCCATCTTCTCCTGCACCTAGCTCCTTGTGACAAAGTGAGCTTGGTCCCCAAGTGCGTCCCTTTTTCTTCTGGCCTCTCTTCTCTTCTTCCTCTCCTTCCTCCTTTGGAAGGACTGAGCTTCGTCCCCACGTTTTGCTGCTTTCAGCAGGAGG